GTAAAATAGAATATAATTTGACCAACTGCAAATGTCGTTTGCACTCACGGGTTGCTACGTAGATGCCAAATAAATCCGGCACTCGCCCACACAGGTCATCAGATGGATGCCGGATATATCCGGCGCTCGTCCACACAGGTCATCAGATAGATGTCGAATAAATCCGGCACTCGCCCACACAGGTCATCAGATGGATGCCGGATATATCCGGCGCTTGTCCACACAGGTTATCAGATAGACGCCGGATATATCCGACACTCGTACCGAAAGAGTTAAATAACTGCAGACACAATAAAGTATTTTTACACTAAATAAAAACGCGTAACAGATTGTTTTTCAGAACAATATTTTTTAATTATCACACGTACACATTGTCACTTATTAAATATCTGATGTATAAGATGCAGGTTGACATACTTTTCATCGCGTGACAGCTTTTACTAAAATAGGAAAAATATTTTGCTCCCAAAAGTTTTCAGCTCTTTTTATCAAGGTATTCGTAAAATTTTTGTCGTACTCAATCCATAAAGATTCATACTGCTTATTTTTCTCAAATTCTGGATCAGCCACATAAAATAATCCCTTTTTTTTCTTGAACACAACATTTGTAAATTCATTTGTCCCCTGTACTTGTCGCTGATTTTACCATTCGATATGTAATTTTGTATAGTTTTAGACGAGCTAGGGCATTTTATTTCTATGACAAAATCATCATCAATATCATCAGGCGAGGCTCCAAATATAGATTGTGATGGAATAAGAAACAAACCGGCGTCAACAATGTTCACTTCCATTCTTTTCTTGATTTCAGCAATGACTTGTGCTTCTAATTTTCGCCCACGTTCCATGTGCACATTATCGAACACTTTCGCTCCTATGATACGTCTAACTAAAGATTCATCTTGTTTTCTACATCTGCTAGCTTCATAAATGTTTGATGCTGTTATTCTACCAAATCTCAATTCATGCCACAGAAGATCATTTTTTTGTTCTCTTAGTTTACTTTCCGCTTTAGTGCACACATTTTGAGGCAGTTTCTCCGCAGC